GTGTGTGTGTGTGTGTGTGTGTGTGTGTGTGTGTGTGTGTGTGTGTGAGAGAGAGAGAGAGAGAGAGAGAGAGAGAGAGAGAGAGAGAGAGAGATGGATGGACAGACAGAGACAGAGAGACAGATAAAGAGACAGAGACAGAGAGCTGGTGGGAGGGATTCTTTACATATGTATATATGTGTGTGTATGTCTCTGTGAGTGTAACATGTATCTGTGCAGGAATCAGTGCTTATAAAGATTTGGTATGCAAATATATGTGTATACCCAATAAAGATTGTTGGTGTTATGACAATGTCTGTCACAGCTAACCCTCTCAGCAGGTCCTGACTGTCTCAGGTGTGGTAGTCATGACTGTACTGTGCACTGAATCCTGACAGCACCTGTGAGGTGATGCTGGCCACTCCTGCCCACCCCTACTCCTTGTCTTCACTCTGGGCCCATCTTCCTCTGCTGGCTGCTCTCTCCCACCTCCCATCCCCCATCCTGCCCTCTCACTTACTCCAGGAGATCCCCTTTCAGAGCTGTAACCCCATCCCACCCCCATCCCTGTGCTCACCTGGGACCTGCAAGAGGAGCAGAGCTGAAGGCAGCCACACTCCCATCACTCCTGGGGTCATTTCTTCAGCTCTGTTGTCCTCTGCCCACACCAAGCCCAAGAGGAGGAGGGGCAGTGTTCTTCCAGAAAGCCCAGTGTTCACATGTCAAGTTCTGCTTTCTGTCCTCTGCTTCCTGCTCCCCTGGGAGGCTCCAGATGAACTGGTACAGGAAGTGCTCTGAAGATGGTCCAGGACTCAGGGGTGCAGGTTCCTATCACTCCCAGTGAGGGACACATCCCTGGCCATGGATTGAGGATGTCACCTGTCCCCCAGCCTTCAGCTAAGGGCTTCACAACCTTCCCACCTATGGCCAGCCTTTGAGAGCCTCTCCATTTTTGTTCATGCTGTCCATCCTCTGTGATAAGCCACTTCCTGAGCTGACTTGAGATCTGTCCATCTTATCTTGCTCCATCTCAGGGAGGAGAGGAACCACCTCCTTCACTCTTGTGAATCCCACACCATATGTGCCTTGTTGCTCCAGTGAAACCCTCTTGAGTTCATTGTGAGTGGGAGGTTCATGGCACAATTCTGATGGATGCTTGGCAAGTCTCCTCTTCGTATCTTGGGTCTTGTTAACCCCCCAAGGGGGGAAAAAGGAAGGGAAAAAAAATGGCAAGGCCTGTATTCCTCTTCTCATTTATTCCCCATGGGGACTTGTGCAGTACTGGGACTGAGCAGAATGAAGGTATTGGGGGCCTTCTGGAGAGCCTGCTCCAAGGCCACCTCCAGGGTAATGCAAGAGAATCCACTAAGTTGGCATGGGCTAGACTGTTTCTATCTGAGAGTATTTAGAAATAAGTTTTAATCATCTCTTACTGGTGAAATAAGGAAACACACATGCTCTCTGATGTTAACTTTCTCTTTTACTTAATCTTAATAACCAATTAATGGGCTCTGACTCACCCTGTCTCCACACAGCTACATATCTCCACACTGCTGCATACAGCTGCAGATCTTTACAGACACACATCTTTTCACATGGCTACACAATTTCTTAGACATACATTTCTCTTCTCCATCTCTTTTCTAGGAAGCTTCATCTTCCTTGTCTGCACACAGCCACAGCTAAGCATCATTTACACAGCCCTCTCTCCACACAGCTCCTAGGCACAGCTCCTCCAAGTAGCAGCAGCTCTTCCACACAGCGCTCGCTCTCTCTCTCTCTCTCTCTCTCTCTCTCTCTCTCTCTCTCTCTCTCTCTCTCTCTCACACACACACACACACACATACTCACTTCCACATGATTTCCTCACTCTTTATTTACTCTTTCACTTGCTCAGGTTCTCACACTTCTCTCATGCTTCTTTTTCTCCATCTCTCAGCACGTGCGTGCGCACCTGCGCTTGCACGCACGCTTGCATGTGCACGCGCGCCCCCGCGCGCACACACACACACACACACACACTCACACACTCACACACACAGTTCCACATGATTTCTTCACTCTTTACTCAATCACTCTCTCACTCTTTCACCCACTTATTTCCTTACACGTCATGCTTCTTCATCTCTCACTCAGCACACACACACACACACACACACACACACACACACACACACACACACACTGCAGCAGCTCTCACATAGCTCTACACAGCTTTCTCTCTTCACACCGATGCTGCTGCTCCCTCTCGGCCAAACTCTGGACAATTATAAGTCACATTTTCAGCGTGCTACCCATTCTCAACACACAAGATAAGCCACTTAGTTTCTCCTAGGCTGGTAATGGCACATTGACCCAGGCACATAGCTCTAAGTTGGTGAGGGTCCAAGACATGAAACAACCAGCTGAACCTTGAGCTGTCAGGGTACTGTATGCACCAGCAACAGAGAGGGAACTACTGCAAGGACTGAGTCTTGATGGAAACAGCCTGGCCTTGATTCAGCAATGAACAACATCTGGGAATTAGTCTGTGTACATTCTGTAGGGGCAGCTTAGTCTGCTTTGGACTAGTTCTAAGGTCTTTGCATGATATGTAAAAGTTGTTTTTGAGACTGAGAATACTGTTACTTTCCTATGTCACTAAGGAAGAATATTCTGGTGATATTTATGTTCATCAGAATTAAACTGCTTAAACAGAAATCTACAGCTAAGTAATGATGTTCTATTAAAATGTGTATGTATATGTATTTATTGGGCACATTCTTTTATGTGTTTGACACATCACAAAGAGTCTTCTAAAAAAAAATCTCAGAGTATTCTCAGGAAAACAGTTTTATTTGTTGTCCTCAGCCACCAGAAGAGCTGTGTCCAGGGATATGAACAGAGCTTTGATGTCAACAGACCTCACTGATTCTCATAATCGGGACAATGCTGCTTCTTCCCAGAGCACCTCTGAGGCCTGTTCACCCAGAGGACCGCACTGAGCATGCTCAGGAGCAGGGGCACCTCCAGAAAGACCAGGAGCTGGAAGTAGATGCTGCTCAGCAGGGACCTATGGGGACAAGGACACAATAAGCTCCCTTCCCTGAAGGTGGTGATGGTGTCCTGCACTGTGTGTTGGTCTCTTTACCCAGGTGTGTGTCAAGGTGCTCTTTTCAGGGACAAGAACAACGAACCCTGCCTGATTGAGCTGTGTGACTGAGCCCAAGAGTAGCCTGGAACTGTGGGTCTGGCTCAGTCTCTCCATGGACCTCCACTCCTAAGGCCTCTATCCAGGCAGGGGCTGCCTCCTCCACCCAGACCCCAACTCTCTTCTAATTGAGTTCCCCTATTTCCTCCTGGTGGCTCTTATTTGTTATTTTGCTATTTACTTATGATTTTGGGGGGTGAGGGGCACAGGGTTTCTCTATTATGTATCCCAGGCTATCCTGGAACTCACTATGTTGACCAGGATGGCCTTGAACTCACAGAGATCCACATTTCTCTACCTTCCAAGTACTGAGGTTAAATGGTTGTGCCGCTACAGACCAGTGGCTGTATTTATTTTCAATAATTAATTATGAATTAAATAAAATTAATTAATTTGCTGGTGTTTTGTGTCTGTGTATGTGTGTATGTGTGTGTGACTGTGTGTTTATGTAGGTGCACATATATGTGCATGAAAGTGGAGACCAGAGGAATCCCTTGGGTGTCATTACTCAAGAATGATTACTCATCACCTTGTTATGTTGGTGTTGGGACTGGTCTCACTATGCAGCTCTGGCTAGAATGAAATTTGTTATGAAGTCCAGGCTGATTTTCAGCTCATAGACTGACCTGCCTTTGCCTCCCAAGTGCTGGATTAAAGACATGAGTCACCACACCTGATCCATCTATCTTGTTAATTGACAAGATCTCACATTGGCCTAGAGCTTGTCAAGTAGGCTAGGCTGGCTGGCCAGTGAGTCTCAGGGATCCCCCTATCACTACCTCCACAGCTCAGGTATTTCAAGTATATGCCAACCCGCCCGACATGCGGGTGCTGAGGCTCAAAATTATGCTCTTGTACCAGTAAAGCCATCTCTTCAGGCTCTGGGTGTGTTTATGTAGTAGGCAGGAAACTAACTCCATCTCAGCAGATCTGGGTCTGGGTGTCACTGCTGTGCCCCAATCTATAGATGAGCAACTGTTGTTCACAAGACACTCCCCCAGGTCAGTGTGGGACTGGAAGATGCAGGAGATGCCCAAGGAGGGAGATCCAAACCATTCTACCTCCACCCTCTCAGCATTGCCCCCACCCACAATCCAGAGCCCTCAGGGTCCTCACCGGGGTTGTAGGCTGGGACCAGGAGTTGTGTCCTCTGTGATCACGCTGGGCTGAGTGTGCACTGGTGAGGATGTGGGGGACCCCAGGATATTTGCTCTGTTCTCGGGGCTAGAGCCTGTGACAGGAGCAAAGGATGGAAACACAGACTGTACCAGTGACCTCCACTCCGTGTCCTCCCCACTGAAACCTCTGCATCTCTGCTCTACACGGGTCCCTAGGGACACGGTGGACCGCTGTGTGACAGCCTACAAGCCCCATGGCCCCACCAAGTCCTGGTCAGGGCTTCCCTCCCCAGGCCTTCCCATGGTGCACTGGGGCTGGTTGGCACTTTCAAACTGGAGGCCAGTCTTCCTGTAGAGGAGAGTTTAAGTGTCAGTGACAAGACACTTGGTGCCAGGTCCCTTCTGGCCTCAGTGACACCTTTTGCCTCCTTGTCTTCCATCCTTCTGGGGACAGACACAGAGTGGTGGGACTCTGCCTGGCCCAGTCATTCCCACACTGTCACACAGACAGGCCACTAGACAGTCTTCTCTGAGGAATGGCCAGGTGGAAAGTTCTAGAAAGACAGATGCTTGGAGGACTCTGTGGAGAGTGGCCTCTGGTGAGGGGAACTAGAGACACCAGTGGGTTTTGGTTCCACACTCCTCACTATGAACCCACAGATGATGTTGGAAGGAATCTTATATGAGGGGGAAACAAAACTGAGAACAAAAACAGGAAGCTGGGTGTGGGGTTGGAGCTCGTAATCCCAATGCTAGAGAGGCAGAGTCAGGAAGTTAAGTCATTCAAGATGAATCCCCACTACACACTACAGTTTGTGGCCAGCCTGGGCTACACAAGACCCTCTCTCAGAAAAGATAAATACTGGGAACAACAGAGCAGTTCATGGCCTTTAGTCCCCACCACCACCCGGCCCTTAAAGGGATGCACTAATTCGGGTTCTGTAAACAAGGGAGGCTCCATTAGGGGAGAATGACTGCAGACATGGAGAACATTGGGACCAGAGGAGCTGAGAGGCTGTCTTCATCCAGCTTCACTCTCTGCCTGTGAAGGGGCACTTTTGGGGGAATCTCTGAGTTTTTTTCCTGCAGTAAATGGTTCCTGGGAAAGGTGGATAAAGGGGAACTTGGAGTGGTTGAATGGATTTCTCAGGGATCAAGAACCCCAATATACAATCTACCCTCCTTCTTGTGTCTCTGGTTCCTCTCAGAAGCCCCAGAAACACTTTGATGAAGCTGGTACCTCAGGACCTCCATGGAAGGGAAGTGTCCACTCAGTCCCAGTTCAGAGCAGGCTTGGAGAGAGGGGAGCAGATACTCTGGGTAATTTTCCCACATGAGATGGTGACAAGACCAAATGAATCCTGGGAGAGAGGACTTGTCTGCTATCAGGACAGGAATTCACAAAGAGCCAGTGGTTCAGGGCTTGTCTCTGGCCTGAGACTGTCACATGGGACACACAGGTCAGCTGATGTGATAGCTCAGTGGATAAAGACTCTGCTTGTCAAACCTGAAGACCTGAGTTTGAGCCCCAGGACCACACAGTGGAGGGAGAACTAAGTGCCAGTTCTCAGACTGAAACACACCATGGGCTAGTTCAACTAAGTAATTAACTAACTAACTCACTACCTACCTACCTACCTAACTAACTAACTAAATAAATAAATGTAATAAAAAGAGAGATTCTAAGAACTAAGTTTCCACATTGTGCCTGTGTGTACTGGCACACACATGTATTGGTGTACATACACTATCACACTTACCACACATACTCTCACAATAGCACATGTGGACTCACACTCCCTGTGTCCTGAGTCACTGATTCACCAAGCTCACCATGCTATTGTATCTGGCTTCCTTCCTTCATGAGGGAATGACTGACCTGGACTCAGGATGCCCTGACATGAAGGGAGCTTACCTGGGACCACGGACACCACAACCTTGAAGGAGTCATCGATCACCAAGGAGGGATCAGTTTCCCAGAAGGAGCCATTGATAAACGGTACGTCCACCCCACACTTGTAGGTGCCTGCATCCTCCAGGGTGAGGTTCTCCAAGGTCACTGTGAAGGTGAGGGTGGCTGGATGGTCCCTGATGGAAACTCGGCCATTCCCAGCTTCTTTTGAGGCTCTGGTCCTGACAATCTCTTTACATGATGGTAGCAGCGACACTCTGCACCAGTATTTGTCGTTAGCCTTGTATTTCTCCTCGTACTGACACCGCACACTCAGGGATTCCCCCACTGTGCCTGTCACCTTGCTGGGGCCACGCAGAGGGACACAGCCTGAAAAACACAAGCCCCAATTCTGCACCCTCACAGCTGGATGGGGGTCAGGCCCCCCTTGGTCAGCTCTTAGAGAGCTGTCTGCTCTGGAGAAAGCATCGAGAAAGGAGACAGGCTTTGTTAGACCCAGGAGTCAGGACTGAGGTGAGCGCCTGTGTTGTCCTGAAGAAGGGGCGGGCAGGGGGCTTGTCCCTGGAGAAAGAAAGAAACAACACGTGTGTGTGTGTGTGTGTGTGTGTGTGTGTGTGTGTGTGTGTGTGTGTATGTGTGTGTGAGAGAGAGAGAGAGAGAGATTTTATCTATGTAAATATTGAGTGTATGTCTCTGTGAGAATCAGTGCTTGTGTGTATGTTTGGTATGCACACACACATGTATGCAATACATGTGTGTACACAATAGAGATTGTGTGTATTATGGCAATGTCTGTCTCAGCTAACCCTCTCAGCAGGTCCTGACTGTATCAGGTGTGGTAGTCATGACTGTACTGTGCACTGATTCATGACAGCACCTGTGAGGTGACACTGGCCACTCCTGCCCACCCCCACTCCTTGTCTTCACTCTGGGCCCATCTTCCTCTGCTGGCAGCTCTCTCCCACCTCCCATCCCCCATCCTGCCCTCTCACTTTCTCCAGGAGTTCCCCTTTCAGAGCTGTAACCCCACACACACCCCCATCCCCGTGCTCACCGGGGACCTGCAAGAGGAGCAGAGCAGAAGGCAGCCACACTCCCATCACTCCTGGGATCATTTCTTCAGCTCTGATGTCTCCTGCCCACACCAAGCCCAAGAGGAGGAGGCGTGGTCTCCTTCTAGAATGTCCAGTGTTCACATGCCCAGTTCTGCTTTCTGTCCTCTGCTTCCTGCTCCCCTGGGAGGCTTCAGATGAACTGGTACAGGAAGTGCTCTGAAGATGGTCCAGGACTCAGGGGTGCAGGTTCCTATCACTCCCAGTGAGGGACACATCCATGATCAAGGATTGAGGATGTCACCTCTCCCCCAGCCTTCAGCTAAGGGCTTCACAAACTTCCCACCTATGGCCAGCCTTTGAGAGCATTTCCTTTTTTGTCCTAGCTGTCCATCCTCTGTGATAAGCCACTTCCTGTGTGGATTTGAGGGCTGTCAATCTTATCTTGCTCCATCTCCGTGAGGAGAGGAACCACCTCCTTCACTTTTGTGAATCCACACCATATGTGCCTGTGTCACTCCAGTGAAAGCCTCTTGAGTTTGTTGCGAATGTGAGGTTCTCGAACAATTCTGATGGATGCTTGGCCAGTCTCCTCTTTGCATCTTGGATCTTGTTAATCCTCCAGGGTGGTTGTATCGATCACATACCCCGGTTACAGGGGAGGAATAATCACTCTTGATTCAGACTTGGTATAACACTCATTTATTCACACAGTAAGATTACAAGCACTATTCATCCTGTCTTCCAAATCGAAGCAGGAGTTCCTCTCCAGGTGTACAG